TTATGTAAAACTGTATTTGTGTATACCTGAATAAACTTACTTACTTACTTATTACTTACTAACTCATTATTAATATCGTCACATAACACATGCTTACAATATCTTACATCTTCCTAACTTTAAAACAAAAAATAATACAACCTCTTAACAGACAAGAGAGTACAAATACTTTCATATTCCCTAACTGACTAAAGTTGGTCTAGGTTGACAAAAAGGACCACAAAAGACGAACCTTGTTATACACAAAGTAATGACAACATTACAGCCACTCCCCCCCGACCTTAGGGACTACACACTTAATCAACTTTACGACATAATCAAGTTTCACATAAACATGAGATATCAGCGTTCCACATTAATATTTCTTGCGAGCACTCTCCCCCCCCCCCCCACTAAAGACCAGTCCACCCCAACCCGACTGTCGTACCCCTATAAGAAACAGGAAAATCTAAAGCCCACCTAATCCCATACACAACCTCATTACTACACCTCGTTCTACAGAAGCGTCCCGCTAAAGCCCGAATTCTTTCCTCCCCCCACTTCCCACATCTCCCACGAAACATAAACATAATCCGCAATTACAATATAGCCCTCCTCACGCCATCCTCCACTTCTTCTATATCGAAACTCAGTGCCCTGAGCATTGCTAACCTACACCCTCCTACCAGACCCAAGATTCTGTGAAACCAAATTCATACCTCCTCAATTTTTGCACAGAAATACACTACATGATAGGCTGTTTCTTGCTCCCCACACAAAATACAACTTGGAGACTGCAAAATTTGCATCATAAATAATCTAACCTTAGTGAGCAATATCCCATGTAGATAACTATACAATGTTTCCCTGACCCTCGACTGTAACCTTAACTTACGTAATTTCCCCCATATACGTTTCCACTCATACATCGATTGACCGAGAAAAACAAGAGAATTCATAGTAGTTCTCCTGTTTTGTGTCCTCAGGTCAAGAAGGGAACTTGGTCAGTGGCTGGACAGCATGGAACGAAGTTGACGATCAAAAAGAATGGAAAGACAGTAACGATGAAGAAAAAAGAGACTGCTGTGGAAACATCTAATGCATTCTCCGTGATACCCGACGAATGTGAGTCGACTACTGGGAACGACACGACGAACGACAACGAGGAAGGTAAGAATATTGTTGTTGTTGGGGATAGCCTGGTTAGATACATGGATAGGGCATTCTGCTTGAAGGACAGGAGTAGGAGACAGAGGGTTTGCTTTCCTGGGGCTGGGATGGAGGACATTGTTAGCCGGCTTGACAACATCATGAACGGTAATGGGATCAATCCTATTATTTGCCTCAGTGCTGGAGGCAATGATGTAGGCAAGTGTAGAAGTGAGGATTTAGTTAGAAAGTTCCGGGTAGCTATAGACATAATTAGGAAGAAGGGGGGGTACCCTGTTATATGTGGCATTTTGCCAAGAAGAGGTGTTGGTAATGAATGATTGTCCAGAGCAATTGGTATTAAATGTTGGCTGGATAAACACTGTAAGGATAATGCAGTACCATTCATTGACAATTGGGACAACTTCTGTGGCCGAAATGACATGTATGCCAGGGATGGGGTTCACTTATCCAGGCAGGTGTGGGTTTTCTTGCTAGCTCAGTTGAGGGGGTTGTTAGGACTTTAAACTAGGATTAGTTAGAGGTATGGGTTTAGAAATGACAAATAATGAGTATGGATATATTGACTTATGCTCTGATATAAAGAATCTTAATAGTAACTGTCATGGAGTAACTCTGGGTAATGATAATTTCAGAACTTGTGTAAAAACAAAGATGAATAGGAAAAATGTGCAGAAGAAAAAACATATGATGGTATTTTATGCTTACAGTCGAAGTGCAAGAAATAAAATTAATGAACTACGTTTGGTAGCATGTGCTGGGAACTTTGATATCATTGCATTAACTGAAACGTGGTATGATTTAAAGAGTCGGGATATGATTGCTGAGTGTAATATTCAGGAATTTAAGTTGTTCCATGTGGATAGATGCAATGGGAAGGGGGAAGGAGTTGCATTATATGTTCAAGAAAATATTAACTGTTGCATAAAAACAGGTATAAAAATAGATGGAACAGTAACAGAATCTGTTTGGGTAGAGTTTGTAGAGGGTCAAGAAAAACTAATTCTAGGTGTAATATACCGACCTCCAGGCTTGGATCACGATAAAGGGAGACTTCTTTGGGACGAAATTGCTAGGGCTTCTAGACACAATAACATAGTCATAGTAGGGGACTTTAACTTTAGTCAAATTGACTGGAATTCTTTGACAGGTAATCTAGAGTCCAGTGACTTTATGGAAACAGTTCAGGACTGTTTTCTGAAGCAGTGCGTAACAGAGCCTACCAGGGGTAATAATTTGCTAGACCTAGTCTTGTCAAATAAGGAAGCACTCGTGAATAATCTGGGGATCACTGAAGAACTTGGCGCAATTGATCACAAATCCATCACTTTTAGCATTAACTGGGAATGCAAGAATAATGATAATACAGTAAAAATCCCTGATTTCCGTTCTGCCGACTATAATGGACTTAGGGAACATCTGTCTAATCTTGATTGGGATTATCTAGCTAAAGATTTTATTGGCGATGATCATACTTATGATTATGAAGGGATCTGCATTTATGATTTTTTTCTTAATAATGTACACCGTGCTCAGAGTATATACATTCCCCACAGAGATATTAGATCTAATAATAACGATCCCAAATGGGTTAACAGTAGGTTAAAGCATCTATTAGGGGAGAAAAGGGGAATTTATAGGCGCATCAGAAGAGGAGAGGTTAAACTTACTGACCAATATGTTCAGCTTAAAAGAGAAGTAAAAAAGGGGATTAGAAAGGCTAAACGTGACTACGAAATTAGAGTTGCTAATGAATCGAAGACTATTCCAAAAGAGTTCTTTCAAGTGTATAGGACGAAAGTGAAGGAAAAAGTAGGACTCTGAAAATTGGGAATGGACAGCTGACGGATAACGAACTGGAAATGTGTTCCTTATTTAATGACTATTTCTTGTCAGTTTTTCCACAGGAAGATGTAAATGAGATTCCAGTAATTAACAATTATTTAGTTCCTGATAAATTTAAAAATTAATATTACTGTCACGAGGGACATGGTTATAAAACAGATAGACAAACTGAAGCAAAATAAGTCCCCGGGACCCGATGAGTTGTTTTCCAGGGTACTTAAGGAATGCAAGATGGAGCTTAGTCAGCCATTAACGAGTGTTGATAAATTAGACACATGTGCAACTCTTGGGTATCCTCAATAAAGATACCCAAGAGTTGCACATGTGTCTAATTTATCAACATGTCGGTTCTCTGAACCATTCATCTACATTAACGAGTGTGCTTAATGCGTCCATCCTTACCGGTGTTGTGCCAGAGTTGTGGAAGATGGCTAATGTGATTCCTACATTCAAATCAGGGGATAAGTCCGCTCCTTCAAATTACCGTCCAATAAGCCTGACATCTATAGTGGGCAAGTTATTAGAATCAATTATAGCTGACATTATTAGAAGTCACCTTGAAGAGCATAACTTGATAAATGAATCTCAGCATGGATTCACGAGAGGTCGTTCCTGCCTGACAAACTTACTGACGTTCTTCAATAGAACATTTGAGGCAGTAGACAGTGATAAAGAATATGATACTGTTTATTTGGATTTTAGTAAAGCATTCGATAGAGTGCCTCACAAGAGACTTAAGAAAAGTGGCAGCTCATGGTATAGGAGGTAAAGTTCTAGCATGGATAGAGGCATGGCTTACCAATAGAAAGCAGAGAGTTACCATTAATGGAGTGAAATCTGAATGGGGATTAGTCACTAGTGGCATTCCACAAGGATCAGTTTTAGGCCCTCTCTTGTTCATAATTTACATTAATGACCTTGATGAAGGGATTACAAGTGACATGAGTAAGTTTGCTGATGATACAAAGATAGCCGTATAATTCACTCTGAGGAGGATAGCAATGAACTCCAGGAGGATTTGGACAAATTAATGTCTTGGTCTGAAAAATGGCAGATGAAGTTCAATGTCGATAAGTGTAAGGTACTAGCCCACTAGCCCTTGGTAATGAAAATAACCCTCGAAGCTATAATCTAGGTAAAGTAGAGCTTGATCATAAAGAATGTGAAAAGGACGTGGGAGTCATGGTAAGCAGAAATCTAAAGCCAAGACAGCAGTGCCTTAGTGTGCACGACAAGGCCAGCAGATTACTTGGATTTATCTCAAGAAGTATAAGTAACAGAAGTCCAAAAGTTATTTTACAGCTCTATACATCACTAGTGAGGCCTCATTTAGATTATGCTGCTCAGTTTTGGTCCCCTTACTACAGGATGGATATAGACTCATTAGAGAACATACAGAGAAGAATGACTAAAATGATTTACTGTGTAAGGAACCTCCTGTATGAAGATAGACTTAAACCCTTAAATCTCCACTCTCTGGAGAGGTGTAGAATGAGGGGAGATATCACTGAAGTGTATAAGTGAATGACGAGAATAAACAAGGGAGATATTAATAAAGTACTGAGGGTGTCGAACCAAGTAAGAACCAAAAATAATGGATTTAAGTTGGATAAATTTAGATTTAGAAAGGACATAGGTAAGTACTGGTGGGGTGATAGAGGCTAGGACCCTGGGTAGCTTTAAGAAGAAATTGGACAAATATATGAGTGGGAGGGGCTGGGTTTGATTGGTGTCATTGGGTATGGGAGTTATTTCTTGGGTAGCTTTAGGTATAGGTCGTTTTGATAAGGACCTGCCTCGGTGGCATTATAAGCACAAATGCAGTATAATGTGATCCTTTATTGACTACGTTTCGCCCACACAGTGGGCTTTTTCAAGTCACAAACAGAACTACCTGGGGTGGAAGGAACGCGAGTATTTATAGTCCGGCTGAGGTCAGGTGAAGAATGCTGCATCTGATGATGTACCGAGTGGGGTTATAGAGTCCAAAAACTTGGGTAGCTTGGAAAGGAGATTGGATAAGTTTGTGAGCAGACCTTCTACAGTAGAAGGTCTGCTCACAAACTTATCCAATCTCCTTTCCAAGCTACCCAAGTTTTTGGACTCTATAACCCCACTCGGTACATCATCAGATGCAGCATTCTTCACCTGACCTCAGCCGGATTATAAATACTCGCGTTCCTTCCACCCCAGGTAGTTCTGTTTGTGACTTGAAAAAGCCCACTGTGTGGGCGAAACGTAGTCAATAAAGGATCACATTATACTGCATTTGTGTTTATATTGCCATTGTGTCGGTATTTTATACCATTTATTTCCAAGGACCTGCCTCGCATGGGCCAGTAGGCCTTCTTCAGTGTTCCTCCATTCTTATGTTCTTATGAAGCCACTGTGTGGTGAAACGTTTCTTCAATAAAGATTCCCATATGTTACATGAGTGTCTCAATTATTCATCTTGTTGGTTTTCAAAAAAACAGTCATCACATCAGAAATCTTTCCTACGAGCACAGACTGTTCAAGACTGGACTCGCAGCAGTGGTTTCAAGATTTAAAAATTTAGATTCAGAAAAGATATAGGAAAACACTGGTTGGGTAAGAGTTGTGGATGAGTGGATCAACCTCTCGAGCAGCATCATTAAAGCTAAAACCTTGTGTTTTAGGCCCGTTGTTGTTGATTATATATATCAATGGCCTTGATGAGGGAATTACTAGTGACATGAGCAAATTCGTCGATGACACAGATTGGTAGTATAATTGATTCAAACGAAGATGTCACAGAACTTCAGGAGGATTTAGACAAACTCAATTCCTGATCAGAAAAGTGGCACATGCAGTTCAGTGTAGATAAATGTAAGGTTCTGAAGCTCGGGAGTGTAAATAACCCTAGAACTTATATGTTAAATAACGTAGAACTTAGCCAAATGGATTGCGAGAAGGACTTGGGGGTTATGGTAAGCAGAACCCTTAAACCAAGACAGCAATGCGCACTTAGTCCTCTCTCAGCAATGGTGGACTGTCTTTCTTCCTTATGAACTTAAAAGATGAAATTCCAATTTTTGAACCTTCTGCTTTTTATTACCTCGGTGTGGTCTTTCCAAGAAATGAGACTAGTGTCAAAGAAATTATTTATAAATAAAGCTGGTTATGTGCATAATCAGTGAGGTAACCGTAAAGACATAATAAACCATAGCTTAACAAAACAACTTGACTACCTGAAATGCAAGCATCGAGATATTGTGCCTCCATAATTGCCTGGTAGGTTAGCGAGCCATGTTCCTTGACAATGTTCTGTACTTCCTCACGAAGACGTTGTTGAATGTGCGGGTGTTTGGCCACATGGAAGGCGGTGAATGCCAAAGTATTGGCAGTGGTGTCGTAACCGGCCATGAGGAACAGCATGGACTGAGCAATGATTGTTTCATCTTTCACAGCTAAAATCAAACCAACAAAACTTATTAGAACAGCAAGTATTGAATGTGGCACTTGGAAGTTTTCTAGAAAATACGTAAAAGTTCTTATTCTAAATTATATTGGACTCAAATAAATAATTACTATGGTTCAATGTTAAACAATATAGTGATAAATATTCACAATGAAACGTCCTTAAGCTAAACATTTACTCATCAAAGGAGCCTATGATGTCAACATTTAGGCACAGAGACTTAAATAGGAACACAAAAATCATATTTTCAATCATTTATTTCTCAATTTCATTACTTGGTAAAAAGTTGACTACAAATAACATTCTAAGAGACAAAACATAGGGAGCTCAGGAAAAAAAAAAAGTGTCCACAACTATTTCTTCGGAAAAGGCACCCTTCCCACATAGGCAAAACTGGACGATTCGGTTTAAATTGGGATGATATTATATGCGTCCAAAATTAGAAAATGGTCAATTACAAGATTTATTTTTATTATTACTCTAAGCAATTAGCAAAAAACTCTTAAAATCAAAATCCTTTCTAAAAATTTCCATTGATTTGAAAGAAGTATTTTCTTCATTATGTTTATAATTATGTCCCAAATAAACTTACAAACTTACCTAACCTTATTAACAAACGCAATTTAATTTTCCTATCAATCATATTATTTAGCAAGTTTTAAATTTTACCCTTGGGGGTCGAAGTCCTTCGGAGCTTGTTCCAAGGGACGGCATTTAACAAAAAGTATTGGCAGTGTGTGTAATCGCCATGAGGAACAGCAGGACTGAGCAATGATTGTTCCATCTTTCACACAGCTAAAATCAAACCAACAAACCTTATTAGAACAGCAAGTATTTGATGTGTTTGCACTTGAATTTTCTAGAAATACGTAAAAGTCATATTCTAAATTATATTGACTCAAATATAATATTTACTATGGTTCAATGTTAAACCAATATTAGTGATTAATATTCACAATGAAACGTTCCTTAAGCTTTTACATTTACTCATCAAAGGAGCCTATGATGTCAACATTTAGGCACAGAGACTTAAATAGGAACACAAAATTCATATTTTGCACATCATTATTTCTCAATTTCATTTACTTTGTAAAAAGTTGACTACAAAATAACATTCTAAGAGACAAAACATAGGGAGCTCAGGAAAAAAAAAAAGTGTCCACAACTATTTCATTCGGCAAAGTGCACCCTTCCCACATAGGCTAAACTGGACGATTGTACTTTATTAGTATGATATTTATGTCGTGCCAAAATATGTAAAAATGTCAATTAGCCAAGATTATTGTTATATTACTCCTTATAGCAATTAGCAAGAACTCCTTTAAAATCAAATCCTTTCTAAAAATTTCCATTGTATGTTGAAAGATATATTTTCTTCATTTATGTTTATAATTATGTACCAAATAAACCTTACAAAACTTACCTAACCTTATTATAACAAACGCAATTTAATTTATCCTAATCCAACATAATGATTTTAGATAAGTTTAATAATAATTTAATAATAAACAAAAACAACAAAATATATTTTTGTAGTTAGGTTCAGAATAATTTTTGAGAAATTTTGCATACACAAATTTTCGCTTGTCTTATTCGGAAAGAACACCAAATAGCAAGTTTTACTTATTAGGCACGACATATATATATATATATATATATATATATATATATATATATATATATATATTATATATATATATATATTTATATATATATATTATATATATGTCGTGCCGAATATGCAAAACTGGTCAATTAGCAAGAACTCATTTAAAAATTTATACTTTTGCACCAAAAGGAACTTAGAAAACTTACCTAACCTTATTATAACAAGAACAATTTCTTTTAGCTTAACCCAACTAAATATATTTTAGATTTGTTTACAATAATTTAATACTAAACAAACACAGTGAAATATATTTTTTTCGTTAAGTTCAGAATGATTTTGGCGAAATTATTGCATACACAAATTTTCGCTTGTCCTATATGGCAAGATGAACGTTGCTATTTAAGCCAAGTTCGCAAGTTCTGCCTATTCGGCACGACATATATATATATATATATATATATATATATATATATATATATATATATATATATATATATATTATATATATATATATATATATTATATATATATATATTTATTATATTATATATATATATATATATATTATATATATATATATATATATATAATATATATTATAATATATATAATATATATATATATATATGCAATAAGATCACAGTAAACAGGTGATTTTAAAATATAATAGTTCCTTGACAATGTGATTAGTCACGAAAGCGCTTGGAATTTCACTACTCTTTCACAGTGGTTGTCTTGCATACATAGAATAGGCAGAACTTGCGATCTTGGCTTAAATAGCAACGCTCATCTTGCCATATAGGACAAGTGAAAATTTGTGTATGCAATAATTTCGCCAAAATCATTCTGAACCTAACGAAAAAAATATATTTCACTGTGTTTGTTTAGTATTAAATTATTGTAAACAAATCTAAAATATATTTAGCTGGGTTAGGCTAAAATAAATTGTTCTTGTTATAATAAGGTTAGGTAAGTTTTCTAAGGTGCTTCTGGTGTAAAATTAAAAACGTTTACATTAACATTAATGAAAAAAATATATCTTTAAAAGTATAAGAGAAAATTTTATAAAGGACATAATTTTAAATGAGTTCTTGCTAATTGACCAGTTTTACATATTCGGCACGACATATATATATATATATAAATATATATATATATATATATATATATATATATATATAATATATATATATATAGGGTATATATGGTAGGGTGTGCAAAAGAAGAAAATTAAAAGTGAATACAGGAAAGAGTAAGGTTATGAGGATAACAAAAAGATTAGGTGATGAAAGATTGGATATCAGATTGGAGGGAGAGAGTATGGAGGAGGTGAATGTATTCAGATATTTGGGAGTTGACGTGTCAGCGGATGGGTCTATGAAAGATGAGGTGAATCATAGAATTGATGAGGGGAAAAGGGTGAGCGGTGCACTTAGGAGTCTGTGGAGACAAAGAACTTTGTCCTTGGAGGCAAAGAGGTGAATGTATGAGAGTATAGTTTTACCAACGCTCTTATATGGGTGTGAAGCATGGGTGATGCATGTTGCAGCGAGGAGAAGGCTGGAGGCAGTGGAGATGTCATGTCTGAGGGCAATGTGTGGTGTGAATATAATGCAGAGAATTCGTAGTTTGGAAGTTAGGAGGAGGTGCGGGATTACCAAAACTGTTGTCCAGAGGGCTGAGGAAGGGTTGTTGAGGTGGTTCGGACATGTAGAGAGAATGGAGCAAAACAGAGTGACTTCAAGAGTGTATCAGTCTGTAGTGGAAGGAAGGCGGGGTAGGGGTCGGCCTAGGAAAGGTTGGAGGGAGGGGGTAAAGGAGGTTTTGTGTGTGAGGGGCTTGGACTTCCAGCAGGCATGCGTGAGCGAGTTTGATAGGAGTGAATGGAGACAAATGGTTTTTAATACTTGACGTGCTGTTGGAGTGTGAGCAAAGTAACATTTATGAAGGGGTTCAGGGAAACCGGCAGGCCGGACTTGAGTCCTGGAGATGGGAAGTACAGTGCCTGCACTCTGAAGGAGGGGTGTTAATGTTGCAGTTTAAAAACTGTAGTGTAAAGCACCCTTCTGGCAAGACAGTGATGGAGTGAATGATGGTGAAAGTTTTTCTTTTTCGGGCCACCCTGCCTTGGTGGGAATCGGCCAGTGTGATAATAAAATAAATAGAAATAAATAAATAAATAAATATATATATATATAATATATATATATATATATATATATATATATATATATATATTATATTATATATTATATATATATTATATATATCAATGCAGTCAGCAGGACTCGATACTGCTACTGAGATGGTCAAGATTCCCATGCAGCACTCTTATCCACTCAGCCACATAAGCCGGGCAGTCTGGTTCACAAGCAATGTTTCGTTCCCAGCCCGGGCACGTCAGTGAGCCTCAAGCATGGATTTCAAGCTATTTCAATATCCTCCTGTATGTCCTGACCTCTTAAGCGATTTTATTATCTTTCTCTGTATATATCTGCTTGTCTCTGCATCATGCAATGATATAAAAAAAATCGTTTGTGACATCAGAACATACAGGAGGAGATTGAAATAGCTTGACTCCATGCTTGAGGCTCATCGACGTGCCCGGACTGCCTCTGGTGCAAATTGTGGGACCCATAGCCTCGGAGAAGAATATTTAGATTTCTTCCTGAAGCCATTTGAATATTCCACTTCTCCTACCACCCTATCTTTTCATACTTTTTTTTACAAATAGGCATATTTTATTAAATCATATGACACAAAAGATTTAAGAGATACATTTTTCATATAAAGATGGCATATACAGTACATGCGGTGTGAGAGATACATGTCTAGCACATATTGTTACGTATCTGTCACTGATTATAATGTGAATATCTCATCCAGCTCCTCAGAGCTCGCATGCGTGCCCAAAATACAGCAGGCATTACCCCTCTGAACAGCAGTGCTGAGTAGCTGGAACAGAAAACTAGCTGCCCTGGGATCCATACTTACCCTGTTGAGTCTTTTGCCTAGCTCCTAGAGCCATGAGCCAAGGGTCTCATAGCCTATGTGAACAAACATATTATGACGGGCAAGTTCACCAAATTTTCTCGACTTTTGGGACTCCCTGAAGCTGGCAGCTGCCCCTCCTTCCTCCCTGGCACACTGGAGATAGGTATCAGCCAAGGTAAATGCACATGTGTAGTCCCACTCCACCTGCTTGCCGTCTGTACAGGCTTGAAGGGTGAGACCGTCTGGAAGCTTTTGGCTGTCATCAGATCTGCATAGTTGGGGTGGCTCCCTTACTGTTGGACATCCGGCTGTTGTGAGGCTCCTCTTGGTAATGTTATTAACCTCTTCATTTTTTCAATCTTTCCCTCGAATTTACCACATACAAG